TTGGGTGCTCTAAAATATTGATATTTTTTTTGATTTTAATTAAATTTTTTTTATTTATAAGATATAAAAAGTATTGGCAAATAAACTAAGCAAAAACTAACTAAAAAAAAAATAGATAGAGCTATATAGGAATTAAGTTTTTTATAGTATTCGATTGTAATAGATAGATGACAAAGCGCCATCTATTCATCAAAAACAACACTAAAACTGAGATGTCAATTAATTATTTCGTTTTAAGAAAATAAGCAAAATTTCTTCAATTTATTGTTAAAAAATGGTGTTTGAAGTTTAAGTGTCAGAGTATTTTTGGACAGTCGAAAAAGTTTGGACAACGTGCAGAAATTGAGTTCTAAAGCGCCATCTATTCATCAATAACAGCACTAAAACTGGGATGTCAATTAATTATTTCGTTTTTAAAAAATAGGCAAAATTTGTTTAATGTGCAGTTACCAAACGCTGTTTGAGCTTTAAGTGTCAGAGTCGAAAAAGTTTGGATATCGCGCGGAAATTGAATTCTTCGTAAAACAAAATTTAAAGGCAATGGAAATAATTCATATTTAATGATAAATATATTACAAAATATGTATAAAATAAATGTATATCAGTTCCTTTCAAAATGATAACTTATACGTGTGTTGGATTAATTAAAATTGATTGTCCAAACCCTAATGATGATCGAAGGAAATGGTGTCCAAAAACTGCTTCAACGTCAAAAATCGTTGCAAAAATGCAGATCATTGGATTCGGGAGATATTCGATTTACCTAGAGATATTTAGTAAAAGTATTAGAAAGTTCATAAAACACATCGGCCAAAATTTTGTATCAAGTTTTGGGTTTTAAACGGAAGTGTGAGTAATTTAAAGGAATGCAGCATTCGTAAGAAACTTATTTACATAAATAGAACTTTGTCAGCAACATCTGGAATATTTTTTTTATTTTAGATAAGATCTTTATTATACGTCGTTTTAACACTACATTTTATCACAATCTGTCACCATAATCTTGAATAGGTCAAAGAATGATGTAAGTTCAGCTCTTCTGTTCCGAAGCGGGTTTGTGTCTAAAAGGTGTTTGCATTAGTTTTTGGCAAAAAGAGTTTTGTTTGTAGATTACTGATAAAAATAAATAACTCAGACTATTATTGCATCCTTTTGGACCAATTGATAGTTGATTACAGACGTAGTTTTAAATCAGAGGGGGAAGTAATTCATTTCTAAAAAATTTGTTTAATATCATAAATTTTGGACTTCAGTTATTGCCAATTTCACTAAGATAATGTAGTGCTTTTCCGGTTTTAAATAGACATCTTGTATAATTTGCTTCAGTTATTTTGTGGTTCCTTTCATGATATTTAATCACCAAAGCATTCTCTCTATTTTATAAAATTGTTGGTATAGTTTTTAATACTGACATCACAATCTTCGCGTTTTCTTAAGTTCGTTCTTCTAGATTTTTTAAGTCAGTGTTTTAATTGTTTTTTGGTAGAATATGCAAGATATATATATATATATATCAGAGTATGTATAAATGTGTCCAAGAACATGTTTCTATCGCATTTTTTTCTTAGGAAATTTTTGGCTATGATAAAATATGCTTCTATCGTTTTTTGTTTAGGTCTTTTTCTACCTCTTCCAAGGCTTTATTTAAATTGTTCTTTTGTCTTATAAATTAAGAAATTTGTGGTTATGGTAACATGTGCAAAATCCATATACTATATTTAAATGACTCCAAGAACATACGTCTATCAAAGATACATATTTTAACAGGTATCCAAATTTTTATAATTTCTACAGTCAAATTGCCATAACTCGAACTTCTATAACTCGAACGAAGTAGAGCACAACAGGGTTTAGAGAGCAAATTACATACAATAACAAAAAAGTTCTTTAACTCGAAGTCCCTATAAGACGAACCTTTTCTTTTCAAACTTATCCATAAATTTCTAATATCGATATCAATCTCAGAAAGCATGTCTTAATCGCATGGAAAGAAAATCACGTTAAAAAAAATTAAAATACATATACATCTATACAAAATCTATATTATGTATATTATGTATTATCACTTTAAATATTTTAAATACTTTTTTAAAGAATGTTATGTGTCAATGTATGAGTAAAAGAATTTGAACAGATTAACCTTTCGTGGGTACTTCTATCTAAGTAATTTCTTAGAAAATCATGTATCCATCTCTACAAAACTTAACGAATCAAATGCCACATAAAATATTATTCTTATAGATTAATTCTTATTAATTAATTAGTTTTTTTATCGAGGATATAAATATTAGAATCTAAATACCATTTCTCCATCTACAATGTATTTCTTGCTATTTGAAATATTTTCGGGATTTCCCTGAAGTATCTATCTTCTATCATTTAATTAGCATTTATTGTGTCCTATCAGTTTTATTCTAGTACAAAAGTGTTTTTAATTTGTAAAATATATTTTGTTAAATTGTTAACAACATTTTGTTGTTGTTGTTGTTGTTGCTGTTTATGGTGTCAAATATATTTAATTAATAATACAAATTGCTATCAAGGCCGCTTGTGGAAGCTGTAGTCGCCACATTACATTCAACTTTTATCTGCGCTTTGGTTTGTGGTTTTGAGATGCTGACGATTATTAGCTCTCGACGGTGTGATGAACTGGCTCTCAGATTTATGACCTGATATTAGTAAAGCAATTTCAGACTTGTAGTTTTTATGCCGATTTTTTAATGAACTTATATTTTATATTTTTATTACTTTTTTCTGTTTTACGAGTTAGGTATATAGTAGAAGAAGGTTAGATTTCGAACGGATGACAATTTGTATTGTTAATTTTGTAATACGAATGCGATGTATTAAATATAATTACGAAATTAATTATATTTAACATTACTAAGCGTTTTCTCCTCGCTTCAATGGAATTTTTTTTTAAAGAATTACTTTATTACTGTTGCTATAAAAATATTTATACAAAAAATAATTTATTTTTGAAGTTATTCCATTTTATGATATATGCATTTGATATTTTTGAATGATAAATAATTAATTCCAAAAGTAGTTTATTATTAAAAAGATATAGTGAACTATGGAATACATATGCAATGTACAGGGCGAAATATCTAAGTAGAGCCCGTTTTCGAATACATTAAAACTAGAGATCTTGCTCATGCACTATACTAAGAAATAATAAAAAATATTTCTTGACATTAAACTTATATATAATAATATAAATAAAATAAAGTATATATAGTAGTTTAGTGAAGCGTATAATTTAATTTAAGTATTTAATTATCAATAAAAGTCTACTTTCGGCTGTCGACAAGACGCATCGTTCCTTTTTAGGCACCTCTGTTTTCTGATCGTTTTCTTCCTTTCTTTACAGTGTATTTTGTGGTCTCTAAACTTGACCATATCATTAAACTTAAACAAATCTTCGCTTACATTTGTGTCCTGTGATTGACGTTTAAAAAATCTAATACGCTGAAGTATTCCCATCCATCCCCACAGCAATGCGAAGCTATCCAAGTCGCTGTATGTTAATTCGCTCAGCAAATTCAATGTCAGCTCAGCCCGTATAGCTCGTGTTTCATTCAGCTGTACATAGAAATCTACTACGTAGTCGTTGCCATCTTGTAGAGAACTAAAGATCTTATATAAACCGTTTCTCTTGAATACTTCCGGTACTGTTTCAATATTCTGTGATGTCAAAAGTGCATCCAAACTATACAGAAGCACTGCTACGATGAGCATAAGTTTTTTAGATCGTGAGAGTACTCTATATACCAATAACGCACAGAGCCCATAACAGCATTACTTGGCAATGTTAATTCTTCGTTTCATCTTCTGATTGATATCACCAACGTTGATTACGATTACAATACAATTAAATAATACTAGTAGAACGAGGTCCACATTGTATGAAATCGTTACCTGTGACCTCTAACATATAAAAAGAAACCACGGGAATGGACCTTATCCCGATTGCTAAAGATCAAGATTTTAGAAATAAACGCTTTAAAAATTAATAAGCTTTATTAAAGCTTATGTAAGCTATTAAAAGATATATTAATATTGAAACATATTGCTTTAGTTGATATAGAATGAACAAAACTGATTGAAAATGAAACACCAGAACAATGTACATCGAAGCGGTCAAGACATTAAAACTTGAACATTAAGTAAGAGAGTATATATAATATATTAGTTAGTTTAAATACCAGTTTTACTTATTTATTACACGTTTTTATATTGTATTCTTCATTAACAATATTAATTATTTATACGATATAGCTTTGTTTGTTATGGAACCGAATTTCATATATAATTATTTACAATTTGACTTTAAAGATAAGTTGTTTGAACAAATTGTGTATATCTCACACCAAAAATTAAGTAAGTTTCTTTAAGCATCTTGATTTTCCGAAATTAATATAGTTGTCAAAGGAGTACAACTTTTTCAAACATCGAACAATTCATGCCGATTATAAAAACAAAACAGTTGTATATAATATGTGCCATTTATATCCCTCAAGAATAAAGTATTTCTTACATTAACAAGGTTTTCAAATAAATTAATTTAAGTAATGCGATTAATTTCGTTACGTGGTGAAAATATTCACCGCATCATTCCAAATGAATGTCGGTAATAAATTCAGGTACTAACTTAAGCAAACTTACAAAGACGCTTAATTTTACAAAATGCGATTATCCTGAAGCGCGTCTAATTGATGCCATAAATTTAAAGACGCCTTAATTGAATCAACGCTCCTTCTCGCCTTGTAAAATAAAATGCTCCACCTTTAATTTACACATCATCGTTCCGGTCTAGAATTGAGCTAGGGCTTACCTTATTTTTTTTTATTTCCTTCAAGCGATGAATTTTAAGTAGTGTGATCTTGTGTGC